TCTAGATCCTCATGTTTGAAATCTTCAGTGAGGCCTTCAAGCAATCAGATGCAACAACTTATCTTTTTAAACAGCTTTCAAGTCTGAAGAAAGCGCTGAAGTCATGTCTAAGGTCAATGAAAGTATTTGCTCTAGGGAAATTTACTTGGGGTGTGGGGGTAGCTTCCATCTTCCTGGGTATCTTTTTAAAAAGCCTTGGTCATCAAAGTCATTCTGCAAAGCCCTCTGACTTCTGAGGGAAGCAAGCAGTGTTTCTGGTCTGAAGTTTGATGGACAGAATGTTGGCTTTACATTAAACGCATGTGGCGGCACGAAGGCCCTTCATGTGCCGTTTGCTCACTTCACAGAAATCCAGGGTGTGCCCAGCGGGTTTCTGCCTGCTTATAACAGAGCACAGTCACCTTTTTAAACTAGGCTAGATGTTCCCAGATGTCTCCACTCTCCTGACTCCTTGGGAGGAAAAGCAATGTGAGTTGCAATAATCAACCGTAAGATGTTACAGTTTGAGAATGTCATTGATTCTGAGATATATTCTGGATTTTGTGACAGAAAACAACCAACAAGATTAAATATAGGCCTTGATCATTAGATGGCTTTGAATTCCAGAAATGTTTAAATTTTAAGAAAGAACGCTTTTTTTTTTTTTTGGATGGGCACTGGTAGTTTACACCTGTAGTAGTCCTAGCTACTCAGAAGGGTGAGATCTGAGGACCATGGTTTGAAGGTACAAAAGTCCCTGAGACTCTTATCTTCATTTAACTACCAAAAGGCTAGAAGTGGAGCTGTGGCATAAGTGGCAGAATGCTAGCCTTGAGCAAAAAGCTAAGGGTCAGCTCCCAGTCCTTGAGTTCAAGCCCCACTGCCAGTACCAAAAAAAGTGCTAGGTGGTTTTGTTGTTGTTGTTTTTAAAGCAAAAGAAGTGACATTAGTCTTTGTTTTCAGAAAAGCAAGAAAAAAGTTAAAAAGGTTCAAGATTCACCCAAAGCAACTAGATTCCAATCACTTCTGCAGCACAGCCTGCTGTTCCTCTGGTAGCAACCATAGTTTGTGTGGGTGCAAGTGTGAAACTGTTATTAATGGCTCTGATGAAAAAGCAACACGCAGGTGTTCCTGCATGGGTCTGTTTGCCCACCCCTGAGGTGAAGAAGGAAATGGGGAAGGAAGCCAGTGTAGATGACCAAAATCCTCAGTTTTTCAAATGAGCGTATCCCTCAAACGTGGAAGGCATTTTTGACCCTTCTTGCCTATGATTCTTATGAAGCCTGGAAAGCTGCAAGATACTTACAGTTAAAAAGAATCTTAAGCATGGTGCAGGGAAAAGGGGAAGAGAGGTGGGTGTTCCTTAATCATTCATTCACTCAGCAAATGATTACTGCTGACTATTCCATACTATGTTCTCTGCAAGCTGCAGGGGAAATGGACAATAAAACAATCCATGCCCTCAGGAACATACTTAGAAGCAAAAACAGGTGGCTGCTTATTATCTATTCAGCACATATTTATGAAGCACTAAGTGCCAGGGAATTAGCAGGGAAGAAGTCAAACAAGTTCTCTTGTGGCGTTTACAAGCTAGTAGTAGGGGACAATGATATCAAACACAATTATATAAGTAGTTTATTAATCACAAGTGTGGTTACTACAAAGAGTGGTGGGAAAGTTAACTACAAGGGTCAATGTTGCAACTAGGCAGCAAAACCATAGAGAGAGGACCAGGAAAAAAAAATTACAGCAGGGAAAGCTGCCAGAGGCAACACCTGGGTGTCAGTAAGGCTCAGGTCAGAGAAAGGTGAGATCTATTTGAGGGCTGGGCCTACTTGAAAGCTGGACAGGGGAGACAGGCAGGAGGGGGAAGAGAGCAAGCCATCTCTAGGAAATGAGATGGCTATATGGAAGTAGGTGGCAGCTCTTGAGGCCATCCTCATTCCCTTGCTTTCTTGCTAGCCAAGAATATTTACTGGAATGCAGCCCTGAGGTAAAGTGCTTACCTAGCAAGCATGTAACCCTGAATTCAGTCCTCAGTACTGAAAAAAATATTGGAAGCATTATTATATTTACCTGCTGATATATGGATGAGCAGTGTAGCACTCAGTGGGAATGAGGTGCTTTGTTCTAGATCAATAGTTCCTGGGTGGCTGACTAGCTGTTTGGACCCAGTTTCAACTGAGATCTGCCACATCACCTATCTATAATTTTTCTGCTGCCAGGCTTGACCAGGGGATGTGGTGACTCCACATATAATACCTTCAACCTAATCACAATTTTTTTTTATTTGTCAATGATGGGCCTGGGCACTGTATCTGAGTTCTTTTGCTCAAGGCTAGCACTCTTCCACTTTGAGCCACAGCACCACTTCTGTTTTCCTGGTGGTTAATTGGAAGTAAGAGTCTCACCAACTTTCCTGCCCTGGATGGCACTGAACTGCAATTCTCAGATCTCAGCTTTCTGAGTAGCTAGGATTAGAGGCATGAGCCACTGGTGCCCAGCATCTTATCATCTTTTAACAAGAAATGCTCAGAGGTATGAACCACAAATGGTCCCCATTACACAGGCAGTGGGTGCCAGAAGGGTCACCAAGGGCTTTTTCGTCCTCCAGGTGGAATGATGAGTCTTTACAGAGACTGTGATGGAAAGAATCTTAACCCACTGGGATGTTCTATAGGTCAGTGAACATCTTGGACAGGCTCCCTCTGCTGGCACAGTTCTATCTAGGTGGAAGGCACACCAGTGTACAATCCTGGTGAGGGAGCAGGTAAGGAGAGGCCAATGGATTCATGTAATTGTGTGTTATGTGTATGCCAGTATTGGAGCTTGAACTCAGGGCCTAGGTGCTGTCCCTTAGCTTTTTGCTCAGGCTAGCACTCTATCACTTGAATCATAGATCCACTTCTGGATTTTGGTAGCTAGAGATAAGTCTTAGGCTTTCCTGTCTAGGCTGGCTTCAGACCTGCACCCCCAGATCTCAGACTCCTGAGTAGCTATTATTATAGTCATGAGCCACAGGCAATTGCTTGGTGGAATTCATGTACTTTTTTGTTTAAGGGAGACTCGTGTCAACTGTGTCCCACAGACTCCCAAAAGGTAGCAGCCCCTCCCTGCCCCCCATACACTGATAGGTTTAACCATATGACAGCAAAGTGTGCTTGAGCTAAGTAATAATAGTAGATCGCTAACAACTTTGAGATAGTGGACAGAAAAGGCAAATAATTAACCTTTTAATCTTTGTCTTTCAAGCATGCAAGTACTGTCCTGTAGCCAAGAAGATCCCAAATCTTACTAAAAAATGTAATAAATATCAGTTAAAATGATGAGGCCTAAGGCTGGGTGTGCAGAGGAACAAGAACTCACTGCTCTGAGCACATGAACCAACACAGTGTTATGGAGGAAACCTGGCCTGACAAAATGAGGTTTTTCTGTTCCTTTCATTGACTTCACTCTTGGGGACAGATCTCAAGAAAAACAGCTCAAGAAGAATAGCAATCAGTGAGCATGACTGTCTGTGTCTGCCCAGGAGCCTGCAGTTATAGGCTGGCTATTTCAAGGCCTGTGCTTAGACCTTTCTGTTGACAGAAGGCAGAGCTCCTGGTCTAGATCTAGAGATATGCAATAGATCAATCCACATCTGCCACAAGTCTGCTATTTACCTGCTGTGTGGCTTTGGGTAACTCATTCAATCTCTTTGTGTCTCAGTTCCCTCTTAGGTAAAACAGGAGTAATAGAGTGCTGTCTCTAGAGGTTGCATTAAAGGAGGTCAGGCTGGAGATGTAGCTCAGTGGTATGATGCTTGCCTAACATGTGAAAGGTCATTGGTTCCATTCCTGGCACTGCAAAAATAGGGACTTCTTATTTTTGGCATTCTGCACAGCGTTTGACCAAGGGTAGCTGTGATTGAGAGCTGGATCCTGGAGAGTTAGTTTCTGTTTGTGAAGGATGACATGGCATCAGAAAGTCTTTCATCTTGAAGAGAGGTTTTGTTTTTGGCCTGAACACAGGGCCTAGTTGCTGTCCCTGAGCTGCTTTTGCTTAGCACTTGAGTCACAGCACCTCTTCTGGCTTTTTCTGAGTGGTTAATTGGAGATCACGGTTCAAAGCCAGACCAGGCGGGAAAGTATGTGAGACTCTGAGCCACCTCAGTAGTTAGAATTACAGGTGTGAGCCACTGATGCCAGGCTAAACCAGTACTTTTGATTCCTTGTTTATTTTTGCACAAAGTCAGAAAAAGAAAAGCAAACTCTGCCCCAACTACTCAGCTGTCCAGAGACTTTTAAAAAGTGGTAAATTCGTCCTAAGCTGTAAGTAAATACCCACAGGTGAGACTCCCACACAAGAGTTTGGGAATGCACAGTTTTTGAGGCCCAAGTGCAAGATCTGTTTTGAGGAAGGAAAAGACCCCTCCAGGATGGTGGGTGAGTGATTGGGTGGGGCAGGTCCCGAATCCGTGCCCAGCAGCCTAACCTCACTGCCTTCCGCCGTTCGGCCAGCCTGCCCCGGCCGGCACCGGCCCGGGGACAGGGTAGCCCCCTGAAGGGCTGGGGAGCGAGGGGCTGAGAAGGCACGGCTGGAACGGGCCTGGCCGGGCGGGGCTGGGAGGCCCCGGTCAGGCGGCCCGAGGCCCTGGGCTCCCACCCCGTTGGCTCCGGAAGCCCCGAGAGCGCCCCGCTGCTGGGCCCGCCTCTGGCCGGCAGGGGGCGCCGAGGAGGGCGGCTGGCAGCGATCTGTCGCTGCTCCTGGAGTCCGGATTCGGAGTGGAGGCCGAGGTGGCCCACCGGCCTGTCACACCCGGAGTCGTAGAGGATCCGGGGGCATCCTGACAGAAAGGAGAGGATCAGACCAGCCGCCGCGCTCTCGACTCGCTCCTGCTCTTGCCCGGAAGCGCGGGCGCTCAGGGGGCGGGGATTAGAATTGCTTCCGGGGGCGGGGGGTGCGGGCAGGGGCGGCAGCCGGAGCGGCGGGGACGGGCCTGGCGCCGGCGGCGGCGGCGGCGGCGGCGGCGGCGGCGGCGGAGGGGTCGCCGCGGGCGGGCGATGTGAGCGCGGCGCTCTGGACAGGTGAGGCACGCGGGCCGGGGGCGCCGGGCAGCGGGCGAGTTGCGGGCGGAGTCGGCAGGATCGGGGGCAGCGCCCGGGCCGCTGTCCGGCTCCCTCAGGGCGCGGCGGGGCGGGCGTCTGCGCGCCCGGTCAGTCTCCGGGCGGGCCGGCCCGAGCCAAGGCCTGGACGGGTCCGGAGGCTCGGGCACCTGCTTGGGCTAGGTATGCGCCCCCGGGGGGCCGCCGGGGCTCGGCTCTGAGGTCTGGGCGCCGCCGGCAGGGTCGGCAGTAGCCCCCCGGCGGCTGCCTGGGCTCCTCAGCCTCCGCCCAGGTGGCTCCGGCACCCGCGGCGGTCCGGACTTTCGTCCCTGGTGCCAACTGGAGGCTGGGTGGTTGAGGCCCCTGGAGAGCCAGGCCCGGCCGGGGCTCGGCCCTGTGGGTGGCCGCCAAGGACCCTGAGCCTCCTGCCACCGCCTTTCTCCAGGTAAACGGGCGGCCGCGGCGCGCCGTGCTGGGCCCGGGAGGTCTCCGGGGTCACCCTCGCGCTTAGGCGAGTCCTGCGGTTGTGGAGGGCGGGCCGGGCTGCAGCTGTAAACCTTGCCTTTCTAAGCCAAATGGCACTGGTCTGGGATGCCCTGACTGGAGGCATCGAGCACGCCTTTTCCGCTCTGGGCCTCAGTTTCTCCCTGTGAGAACTGAGGGGTTTAGATGAAGTGCCCGAAAGACTTCAGGCTCCACCATGCTGGCTGTCCTTGGGTCAACATGCTGGACAGTTTCACTGAAGACTTTTTTTTTCTTTCCAAATGTAGACTTCGTAGCCAGTTAATGCATCTTGCTTCAGACTGGCTTGAAAAGGACCCCAAGAAGCGTTTCTAAACCTAGCCTTAATCAGCTATCACCCCTGACTGCTGTCCCTAGTTTTCATTATTCACATCCTACAGAGCTCTTATAAGCAAGCATTTTGTTGTTTATATTTGCCCATATTCCTCTTTGTTCCCCAGTGCTGGCCTTCTTTGCCTCACATCTGGATTATTGCAACAGTTTCTTAGCTGGTTTCTGACTCCAGAGGCTTCCCCCTCCCCCATCCTTCCTTTATGCTAACGCCAAATTTACTATAGGAAGTCAAAAAATAGTTGGGTGCTTTCTTATTAAATGTCAAGATGTTGTTCTCTGTGGTGGAGGAGAGTAGTTGAAAGCACATGCAGTTTTTACTGTAGAGGTTGGATATTATTACTCAGTGAAAAGGTAATTTTGATGAGACAAAGCTGTAAGCAGAGGTCACATAGACACAGTGGTCAGGACAGCTTTATGAGGGTCAGGATTTGATCTGGGTGTTAAAAGGATGAGTAGGATTCATATAGGAAAAGAGGAGTCAGGATCCCAGTGATCCTGTGGAGTTAGTGACTAAACCAACTTCCTGGCAGAGAAGGGTTCATACTGGAGGGGGAAAAGAGGAAAGATTGGTTGGGGCTAGTTACTGAAAGAACTTGAACACTAGGCCAAAGTTGAAACTTTCCTAAAAAGTGAAGCATAGGTAGGAATGTGACCAGAGACTAGGGTTGGTTCTTATGCTGGCTGCTCAAGTGAGAGGCCTGAGACCAGAAGATCAGATAGGAGGCCAGAGTGTCAGACAATTATTCACAGCTGAGTGGTACTCTCCTGCCTGCTATGTTTTACCCAGCCACCATCTGCCCTTTTCAAGGCTTCTCTTATTCCCTCCTGTCCCCAATCCTTATTCCTGGCCATTCCATCTCTGCCAGGTTACGATTGCTGCTGGGCTTTCAGTGCAAAATCTCTCTTGCACTCCTTCAAGCTCCTGCTGAAAACATACTTCCCCCAGCCGGGTGTTCCCTACGGCACTGCCCCTAGGCCTTGGTGGCACAGGATTCAGCACTGCTTCCTTGGGTCACTGTGTTTGTTCTTGGGCTAACTGGAATAGGATACTGAAGCTTAATGGTCTCATCCCTTCTGGTGCCTAATACTAGAGCTAGACTTTTAGAATAGGCACTTAAATGCTTACTGAGTTTTGTTAGTAAACAACTTTTTCTCCCCATAAATTGACTTTTTTTTTTTTTAAGGAGAACCGATTACTAGTTATGTCTTCTCTGTCCTATATGACTGATATTTGATGCTGCCATTTGCGGTGAATGCTTTCATCTTTCATTTTTAAGCTGTGGAATGCACAAAATTAATCTTTGAAACATTAACATGTTTACTACACATTATGGGAAAGGAAAAATGTACTGTAATTCATTCGGAAGTTGTAGGAAAAGAACCTCAGTTCTTGGAGTCAGTCCTCAATTTGAATCTTAGCAAGGCTACTTCCTCCTGACTCTGAACTTGAGCAATTTCCCAAATTCTGAGCCTTTCTATTTGTAGTGTATAGAAAAATAAAAGCCCATTTCATAGGACTGTTAGAGGTTTTTAAGTGAAAATGGTGTGCAAAGGTGGTGGCATTTTGTAGCACCCAGTAATTTCTTAATATATTTAATTATTAGGAGTAAATTTATGGAGGTGGAGCAGTGATAGGCCGCCGGACTCTGCTGTCTGTGAATATCTATTAAGAAGTGTTCTGCATGCCTCTGTATCCTACTTCTGCCTTCCACTTGTCAAAAAAGTCTGTGTCATGAATCTAGAATGCCATCATTGTGTTTTATCCCCATTAATTTTCATGTTACTTTAGTTTAAATTCTGCTTAATGTTTTTCAGACTTAACTGTGTGCATTTAATGTTTTGTAGCATTTAGCTTAGTGAAGGTCATCAACTGAATGCAGTTAAATTTCTAATGGTTATTTTCACGTTGATGTTGATGGCATGGAAAACCTCATGGAAGAATGCAATTCAAGGTGAGCTTTTCTCATCCTTTGCTTATAAGAGGCAGAACATAATGTATTTTTCAGGCCTAATAACCCTGAAATGCCAGCAGTAAGCAGATAAGATGCTACTCCTTAATATTTTTTACATTGAGGTCTTGCCCTAAGAAAGAATGTTCTTTTATTCAAAACAAATCATTTCAATTCATGGTTAGAATTTGAAACATGTAACCAGGTGTGTGATACTGCAAGTCTATAGTCCCACCTAGGGTACTCAAGAGGCTGAGGCTGGAGATTGATTGAGCCCAGGTCTTTGGGGCCAGCTGGGTAACATAGGAAGACCCTGCCTCAAAAAAATAAATAGAATTGAGACATTTTGGGGGTTACTTCACTGACAGAGTAAAAGGGCCAGACATTTCACAGACAAATGGCTACATGCCACTTGAAATATAGCATACAGTGACCCTCTTAATTATCACCATGTTAGACCCAGACTGACATTATTCCTGTAGTATATCCTTAAATGGGAATTCTCTTTCCATTTCAAATTAATTAGTAAGAATCCAGCACTAGTAGTAACACTGAATCTCCTCAGTGGGCATAAAATCTTATTTTCATAGGAGTTAAAGTTCTTACTGGAGAGTAACAAATGTAGGTACAAGTACTAGCCTAGCTAGTCATTAGCTGAGAAACCTCAAGGAAAAGTTTCTTAGTTTGAGATCTTTTCCTCATCTGCACAATGGGAATAATTGCGACATCTGTCTTGTGTAATTACAAAGATTTAGTATGCAAATAAAGAGTGAGTTTAGCATACTGTACACAGTAGGAGCTCAATCGCTGTTAATCCTTCTCTTGCCAGGAAAGTTAAAGAGGCCATTCCTCTCTGAAGCAGCCTCTTATGCTTGCGTTGACTAAGACAGATCACACTCTCTCAGAATTAGTGTAACTGAGCAGACCTGGAGAATGTTAACGCCTTGGTCGGAAATGTAACAGTTTGGATAAAAATGTTCTCTCAGGCTCACATGAATTAATGCAGTAAGAACTCTAAACTTGTTTTCCTTTAAATTAGGATGAGTGCTTCATGAATATCCATCACAGAATGCCATTTTCTTCCTTTTTTTTTTCCTTTTTCCTTTAGTGTTGGGTTTGATCAGCACCAGAATGTTTTGTGCAGCCTTGGTGCTATTCAGCGGCTGCTGCTGCTTTCCAAAGGATTAGATTGTAGCTCATGACAGCTCCGTTTTAGTTTTGATCTAGACCCAGGCAGAAATATCTAGAAAAGTTATTTTTATGTGGTTGTTACTGCTGTTACCATGCCTTTCATCTTCATTGCCTCAATCTTTAAGAGTGAAAATGAGGTATCTTCAGCATTGGATGAAGAAAGCCTCATTTGAGTTGTGTGTCTCAGGTGTCAGAGAGTGAAGCTGGCAGGTGCAAATCTGAGTTAGGAATCATGAGCATCTTGACTGAGAATGAGGGGTCCCTCAAGCAACTTCCAAATTAGTAACCTTATTTTCCTTTCTTGGATGTGTAACTGAGTATTTTTACAGAAGTGTAGCATCTTGTGATGTGTGTTAGAGTGTTTCTAGGCTAGGTGGGAATAAGACACCTTGCTAGATGCTTCCTGCCACAGACTGGCCTGCAACTTGGTGGGGAAGGGGGGAGGTCTTCAGGAAAAGCTGAGAGCTGAGAGTGCAGCTGTAAGGGGTGGTCCATTGGTTTTGGGTCACTTGGTTTAGGTTATATTAGCTGACCCACACTTAGTACCTGCCCTCAGAGAACTCATCTGTGGGAAAGCTCTGCAGTGCACATATTTGCAAAATGAGTACAGCTCCAATGGCTGAGTGAGTCAGTCTATCTTGAGTCTGTCTGTCTGTTTATCTTTATCTATCTATCTATCTATCTATCTATCTATCTATCTATCTATCTATCTATCTATCTATCTATCTATCTTTGCCAGTACTGGGGCTTGAACTAAAGGCCTAGGCACTGACCCTTAGCTTTTCATTCAAGGTTGACACTCTGCCACTTGACCACAACACTACTTCCTGTTTTTTGTTAGTTAACTGATGGGAAGAGTCTCACAGACTTTCTTGCTGGAGTTGGCTTTGAACCATGATCCTCAGCCTTCTGAGTAGCTAGGCTTAACAGGGTTGGCTATCAATGGCTTAGTCTTTACTCTTTGTTTTATTTCTGCTTGTCATAATG